CTTCGAACTGTTGTAAGGTCATAATACATGTTTTCTTGACGCTCATTGTCAGTCCAAATTCTTGAGTAACTTTTTCAAAAGTTCGTATGAAAGTCTCAAGATCGTCAGCTGTTTCACACATTGCCACACAGCAGCTTAACAGAAGAACGCATTACTTCACATGCTAGAAAATTAGCAGTTCTGTTTCATCCAGATAAAGCACAGAATCCAAATGATACTGTTGATTTTTCCGAAGTCTTTAAAATAGTTATCGCTCGTAAAGAAGAGCTACTGAAAGAATTGAAAAATTTTGAGACAGTTCAAAAACGTGTTGGTCATCATACGTCAAACGGAGACAGATTGTGGGAGTTTGCAAGAGATTTTAAAAGAGCTAGAAATGATGAATGGACGAATTTAAAGCATTTTCATGCAGATCAATTAAAAAGACTTTCTGGAGGGGAATTAATCAAAAATCAGAAAGCGTATGCATTCAATGCATACGAAGAATTTCGTGCAGCAACAGTAGCGTTAGGCACATTAGGCAATGCTGAAGAACGCAGTAAATTACGACGTATGATGGCTATTGCACTTTACACGGCTGAAGAACATTTACAGGCACAAATATATGCGATTGCAGCTCTATACATTTTATCGAGTCAGACAAATAGAACAACATTCGATAAAGAAATTGACTATTTACAAAATTTACTGAAACTAATTCGAGGTGCGGCATCACCGCCACCTCCGAAAGCAGGAGCAACAACAGGAACTACATCTGCTTCTCCAACACCAACTACATCGGCAGTTATAGTTTCAGCGCCCGGTGAAAGATCGTCATCACTGATCTTAAAAGGTCAAATCAAGGAGGACCTACGAGCAGTAGTATTAGAACAGTGTTTAATTAAAAGTAACGAGAAACAAATCAGAACCTCAAAAGAGTTGATATTACGTGTAAAACAAAGAGCTTTTCAGCAGAGAGTAATCGGAACTGTCGCAGGAACTGAAGTAGCATTCATAGGCCTTGGCATAGTTGGTTCAGCGTGTGAAAGTATTGGAACTGGTGTAGCAGTAGGCTCCGTGTTAGGTCCAGTAGGAATAGTCATTGGCGCTGTTGCCGGTGTTAGCGTGATGATTGGTGGACTCTATTTGGGTATTGAACGATTTCAAAGTAGTCGCGCTCATTTCCAGGAGCCAAAAATCCGCGAAGAACTTAATAATAAATTAACTAGAGCCCTAGAGCACCATAAACAGCAAATGTATGGCGCATTTCTGGATGAATTAGCTAGTGAATATGGTCCTAAACATCTAGCTTTAATTACAATCGAAAAAGCAGATAATCGAATAAAAATCGAAGTGGATCCCAAGAAAATTATTTCCACTCTGTTAAGTCATGAATTTCGGCCTGATGGCATTGCTTATTTATTGAATCTAATCGGTGATGCCTTATTGAATAAACCGAGGTTACTGGAAAAACTTGATCCGTCTCTACGACAACCACCACAATCGACATTAAATCAATTAGCAACAGATATATTTTTGGAAATTTTTTCGCGAACCACACTGTTGCAAGCTAGAGCGAACGAATTAGACGAACAAGTGAAAAAAAAGACTTTAACGGATTCGGAAATGCACAGTCTATATCTGTTACTACGATCTCTGACGACGACGCTCTATTCGTCGTACAAATATGCGATACCAAAAGAATATTATAAAGATGCTCTACTTACACCGTTCACCACACGGCTTGACGAATTAGTTAACATAGCACGCTTGAATTATGCTATCGCAAATATAATTATTGGTGGTATTGATAACTTTGGTGAAAGTCAGAGCGCGATTTCGGAAATAAAGCAGAGGAAAATGCATACGGTTAGTAACCAGTATTTTATGATATCAGACACAATGATACAAGCAATTGATGATCTGCTAATGGCATTTGGATTTCCGCCAGAGATGTTACAGAGTTGCAGTGGTAGTCAGGATGAAGTTCTAGCCTTGGAAAATACCGTTGTACTTGAGAATGTAAAAGTAGTTATGCTAAATAACGTAGCTGTTAACTGTGAACGTGTTAAAGCATCAACACGGGCATCAGAACAGCTAGAAGCACTCTGTGAGTTGTGTGATCTGTCTGTGAGCATAACTCAACGAGAATTTGTTGAAAAAGTTAAGAAGTTGTACGAGGGCGCTAGTGATGAAGTACAGAAAGCAGAAATTCGAAAGATGATGATTGCGGATGATACACCCACGGGAGACATAGTGACGTGGTCCAATCAACATTTCTGTTCTCAAAACTGGGTTTTCTCTGCTGTTCATTTGCCAGTTGTAGCCAAGATCTTTGATACTAGGCTGTATAATTGTTCTCTAACTACGAATTCTACGTATGGTCGAGTTTTCCTTCTGAGTGAACCAACGTTCGAGGATGATGACGATCTTCGCCGTATTTTCGTGGTGCTTGATAAGCAGAGCCGAGCGATTGGCATGTTTACAACGTGCGAATTAAAGTTGAATTTTTTGAAAGATGAGTTGAATACAGTTCAAACAAACGAATTAAAACTTAAATCGTATCATAAGATAGCTGTATATTATCGATTGCAAGCTGCAAAGTATGAAAATATTCATCATTTACAAGCACTGCCAAAATGGAATAGTGCAAAAGATAATTACATTAGTATACTTGAACTTGATTCGAATGATTTACTAGCGTGCCTGGGTTATGGACGGTGCCTAATTATGCTTAGTAAATATACTAAAGCACAAGATTATTTGTGTAAAGTCATTAGCGTTCATGATGATAGTGCCGAAGCATGGTATTTACTCGGTGTTGCAAGGCGTAAACTTCGATCGTATGATGAAGCAAAATACGCCATTGATAGCGCACTTAACAGAGATCAAACGCATAAAGATGCAGCCAACGAGTTGAAAATCATACTCGCATTGAAGTCCACTAGTACAAAAGAAGATCGAATGAACGCTTACAATGTAATGAAAACGAGTAGTTTATCAAGTCGTAGTAAGGATGGTTCTTTGGATTATAATATTTTAACTGTAGATGGTGGTGGTATCAGAGGTCTGATATCAGCTGTTTGGCTAGCAGAAATTGAACGTCGTACGAATCGTTCAGCTTCATCAATGTTTCAAATGATGGCCGGTACGTCAACCGGTGCTATCATTGCAGCTGGCCTTTGCACTCCAGAGCGAGGTGATCTCTCGAGAGCACGCTATCAAGCAGCTGAGCTTGTTCAACTTTATGTAACCCGTTCAGATGAGATTTTTAAAAAGAGAGCGAATTCTTTCTACAATTTTCGTAGTTCCCTAACGTTGGAACCGAAATACCTTCCCGACGCTCGCCATAAATTGTTTAAAGAACATTTTGATCATACGCAGCTTTCACATGTCCTAACGGAATTAGTTATACCAGCAGTGAAAAGTGATTGTCAGGTAACACATTTATTCACTCGATACAAAGCTCGTAAGACGCGTGAGTCTGACCATTTTTTACATGATGTACTAATGTGTACAACAGCTGCACCAACCTATTTCCCTCCGTACAAGATTCACGATGATAACTGCTTTTATGTCGATGGTGGTGTTCAAATGAACAATCCCGTGCGAGCTGCATACAATGAAGCGCTTCATTATGGTAAAAAGAAAGAAAATCTCTTTATACTGTCATTGGGTACCGGCGATTATGTTCCTGATCCGCTGGATTCTAATGCAAATCGACATTTACTTTATTATGCTCTAAATCAACAAAAAATATTAAATATTATTTTCGATGGACCACAGTATAATACTGATGTTAGTATGCTAAGCGATTTGAAAAAGGATCAGTATCAACGTTGGCAGATATATTTTGAGGAGCCGGTCGCATTGGATAGTATTGAAAAATCGAGTATTGAGTTCTTGTTTGACAGTGCCCAAGAATTTCTTGAAGAAATGGATGCCTATGATAATGATGAACGTTTAGGCCTTTTACTTGATAGACTGAAAGGAGATGCGCACTGAAGTTAGAGAGGACGAAAGCAGCAGTTGAATTCTGTCAGTCCTATGTATTTGTCCGGTTAATCACTGTGCGCAGGCATGTGTAGAATGCGTTCTCTGTAAATATAATTTTTATTGTCGAACCACGACTATTTTTAATACGACTAAAAATTTTTAAAATCAGAAGAAAGAACTGACAGAAAGCTATCGATACTCCATTTGCTTTTTTTGAGTCTTTACTGCAATTTTTTTATGTCATATGGATTTTTGCTGTGAAGTTTTACAATTTTATTTCGTTTTTCCTACTGTGGGTGATATCGTTAGATAATTTTGCCTTCACCTTTCTTTCTCACTCGGCTGGCTCGATGAACTGACCCTGAAGTAGTGTTACACCCGTATTTCCTCTGAAAATAATAAGATGATCATATTTGAATTCTACTGGCCTACGACTCTGTCCACCATCATCATCTCTTGCAGACATAAACACTGCGTAGGCGCTCAGTTTCAAATCCATATACACACAAAGCTAAGGTTATCTCATATTTAACAGATTGCTCGTCAGTAAGTTACCTTTTCAATACCTTCAATAAATGAATCACTCTGAAATTTTCTGAACGCATCGAGCGTCGATCGATAGTCGATTGTGAGATCGCGTATAAGGCGTCTACCTACTAACTACTAACATTTGTCATCACTCTTAAAAACATAAAACACGACTGTTTAGAGATGAGGAGAACTGCGTCGGATTCACACTGTAATACAGTGACTAAGCACACTACGTCCACAGCTATTTATAAGTTTTAATCCAGTGAAATGGTCCTTGCCTTTCGAAACAAATATTTGAAAGAGTTGAAACACGTACCCCTTTCTAAATGTCCCACTGCTCGACTAACTTTAAAAAAAGCGTCTTTTTTACTTCGTTATGTACAATATTCGGTTCACATCCTTTGAATCAAAAGCTAGCTACACCCTCTAAATTTTACTCTTTTAGCTAGTTGCAGCCAATGGAAAAGCAGACGCTTCTTCAACAAGAGCAGCTAGCTTATTCCTTATGAGATTTCATGCTTGAGTTACCTTTTTAGCCTTCACAAGAATAATGGGACTGTTTATCGATTTTGAAAAGATTTTTGATAAAATTTGACGTAACGCCCTTCTTTTTAAACTAAACGAAAAATATTGCCCCACCTACCTAGGGAACATTTAAAGATCTTATTTCATGAATCGAAAATGTTTTGTTCAACTCTCCAAAGCAACGTCTCTACTGTATGACTGCCCCTTCGGTGTACCCCAAGGGAGAATTCTTTCTTCATTTCTTTCCAATTTCTTTTTACATGATCTCCCATCTTTCTGTTCACCTGTTTATGTAAATATTTCCATGTACGCTGATGATATCGCCGCGATATGTGCATGTTTCCATGTTAAGGAAGGGGAGCAGGTCTTACACGTTTTTTGTGATAAACTTTCTGTTGTTTGTACATTGGCGAATACAAATTGGTTATTCAAAAACTGTCACAATGTTTTTTATCAAATATCCACATGATAGAAAGTGAATTGTATCTTTATTCCCTTGACTGAAAGTTAGGGTCATATAAACGAAATGTCTGTCCGTCCGACCGTCCGCAGTAGAGTAGTGACACCTGCTTTTAAATTAGCGTAGATTAGCGACATATTCATATTCAAGGAGGAAAAATACCTAATTGCTACTTTTTTCGGCAGGGAGACATCCTAGATGTGCGAGTCCGAAATAAAAAATGTCAGAAATTAAATTTCACATATTTTATCTGCTGGCACAAAATTCGTTAATTAGCGAGAAAAACGCTAAATTTTAATAATTAGCATTTCGCGCCATGAAGCAAGTTTCCTATCAAAAGTTATTCAAAACACAGTCATATACCATTCTTTTTTTGGACGGACAATACATAAGAACTTTAGTTATCAAAGAAGTTAGAATATCCATCTCCACGATCTCTCTGACAGACAAATGTATTGTAGATTTGATAAGATCGGATAATGTGAGGAAATTCAGATATACAAGTTTCTTCTGTTCAGCGGCACTACTCTCACGCTGCCCACTTCGCTCCTATATTTGTATTAGCCCTCTCTCACCAATATATAGCAAACAGCCTTAGGTTAGGTAGAGGAAACTAAAGGTCCTGTCGAATTTAGAGAATTTGTCCTTATTGTGCTTTCTGTCACTTATTGTGCTCAAATTCTCACGGAAAAAGTAAAATTCCAAAATTCATGGAACTCGGACATTGCTGGAATAAAAAGATGAAAGTAGTAGATAATTATCGGTGTTATCCCAATGTGACTATATTGACATTAACGTTTACCAGTTTTATTGAGGATATACTATTGCTGGACTTTTTGTCTAAAACTATCGCATATTTGAAAATAAAAGTTTTACGTATACTGAGTACGTCGTCGTGTGCAATGTATAGCGTATTCGTCTTACTGGATCATTTGTCGAATATTCAATACTTACATTGCGATATATCTTATTGGATGTTTCCCAATAGCTCACATAGATGTCAATATTTAACAATAAAACGTTTAATTATAGAAGACTGATGTTTCTTCATTATATTTTATTGTTATAAGCTATTTTGTTTGAAAGAGAAATATTTTAGTTTTTCCCCCTACCACCGAAAGAGAGACATGCCCCATTATTATTGAGGAATACAAAAAACACGAGCGATACGATGAAATCACGAAAAAGAATCTGATTCGAAAAAATAGTCAAACAATAATATATGAAAGTCCAGGCACACACACACACAGACAAACAAAAAAGTCTGTTTAGCGAGAATTCAAATGACAAAGAGAGAGAGAACAAAAGAACACGTTATTCTTCTTCTAGAAATCTTTTTGTTGTACAAATATAGTCCATTACTACTATACATGAAAAATCTACTTTCGAAAGAGATACATTTAGTAATAGACCGTATCTGTACGTTGCGGTATAATACGGCAACGTACAGATACAGTCGGGCGCGCGAAGAACGTGCCAGAAATGAAAGAGAACGTTGTTTTACTTAAATTATGAAATTCATCGCCGGTAACTAATATTTACACGCCGAAATTTTCATAGCCTCGCGCCGCCGCCGCCTATGGTAAAAGTTTCATTCGCCGCCGCCGAAATTTTTTTATCGGCGCACATGTCTGGTTATATCTTTTTCTTCTTTGATTTCTTAATGAATAAAATTTATTTTCTAATCTATTTTCATTAATAGTTCTAATATTTTTATCGGCTGCATTTCAGAACTTCCTATAGCATTATCAACCACTGTATACGAAGGGTCTTCTACCTCATCAAATCTTTGACCACTACATGGTTTGACCCATTTTCGAATAATCGATTTCCATTGTGGACTTATAGTTTTACATCTATTATATCCCCGGTTAGCTATAGTGTATACTGATTCCAATTTTTTCCTTCTGAATACATTTCTCTCGTTATCATACACTACACTATCTTTACCGTTACCCTTTTCAAAATGTTTTGCTAGATCAGAGTTCTCAGAATCTCTCATAATTATTTTCTTTTGATGTTGTACTATGCGCTGTTTAAACAATATTGTTTCTCCAACATAAGTATCTCCACAAAAACAAGAAAATTCCATATACCGCAAACTCATTCAAATGTTCATTAATTTCTGTTTCGGTATTTTTATGTTTCTTATTTTTTATTTCTAAATTATTATTACCTAATGCTATTGTCTTTGATTTATTTAGGATAGCTTCTAAACTACGATTCAATTTAGTATAAATTTTATTATTGAACTTAGATAAATGCCTTCTTAATTTTTCTGTAATACCATTAACATGAGTGTTGCTTCTGCATATTGTTTGAGGCTGATATTTGTTTCTCAAATTATCTAAACATTTTATTTATTAATATCGACGAATAATCACTATTTATTAACATGTTTTGCAGAATAGTCTTATCCTTAAGATTATGTTTATTATTATTAGCTATTCTTATTGTATTTGCCATGTTAGTAACAATGTTTTTCTTCCTAGCATAACTATGATCTGAATGAAAGTTCAACAGTCTATTACTAGCAGTCTCTTTTCTAAACCAGCTCGTTTCAACAGAATTATTATTTTTACTTATCCGTATTAGAACATCTAAAAATGATAAACTACTATCTTGATAATAAAAGGTTAAACTGGTAAGGGGGTAAACTGTAAGTCTGCATGTCTGTTCAAATCTAAAACTAATTCTTTAATATCAATGCTGCAATCATCATCAAAAATTTTATGTTTTGTTTTTTTATACATCGTTGTTAGGTAGAGCGCATCGAACTGTGTAACAAAGAGCGGTTTTTATTTTTTTATCTAAGAAACGTATTAATTTTATCAATCTATATTTACACTCTATCTTCTTCTACATCATTTATATCGATCATTTTTCGGAGGCTTTTCAAATGATTAAAATACACTTCATCACCACGCGCATCTTCGATACCTATCAAAATTAAAATCTCTTTAATATCAAAATTATTGATAGAATAAAAAAGATAAACGAACGTTCAATGTCTATAACTAATTTTTCATTCAAACATGTTTCTTCTGAAAATGAAATAATAAAGAAAAGAAATTATATATCTCTATATCTTTGCATATTAAACATACTAAATTTTGTTCGAGCAACATGACTTTTATACATTTCAGTGAATCGTTTTAATTTAAAACAGTTTGTTAGAATATATAGAGCAATTCGCCATAAATGGGAAAAAAAGATTAGTGGTGGAGGTAACGAGGGTCTTGTTAAATATTCACAAACTAACGAAAATCGTTGAAATTTCCAAATATATCGGTATCGGTGTGTAATCGATCAAATGTATTACTAAAAATAGTTCAATATTCTTTAAGTAACTACGATAGTAAAAAATAATAAAAATTTACCTAAACATGGCTCTTAATAAATTGACTAAGAGTATACTTTCAACAGCCATATAAGCCGATAGTAATATGAATACTGCATAGCCTGTTGCTCTGTAGCTTTCTGAATAAAATCG